TCTTTTAAATTCCACCAGTCTTCTCCCTTCACCTCCTCCGTCCCATTCCTCCATGTCCTGGAGAGTGTGTTATACTGCTTTGTCGTTCAGGGACTTCATTACTCAGAAGGTAGCATATAAAACACTTACGTAATGCAAGTTTTATTCCTATTTATAAAGTCATTGATCAGATATTGCAACAACTTCCAAACAATGTCAAGTAAGCAATAACTGCCGTGCAAAGGTATGCTACAACCTAACACAGTACATTAAGGGCTCTCAGCCATTGACTCTCTGATACTGCAGGAGCCTTAGCACCACTTCAGGAGTTAATTGGAGTCTACTTTTCTTTGGAGAGCAGTGTTCCATCATTCTATGTAACTCAGCAACCACATTCTCCGTGAGCTTCCCAAGAGAAGAGAGGGGGAGTGTGGGAGAAACAGGTTGCCAAACCCACTTAGGCACACTCCGCATAGATTAACCCACCAAATTAAAAGGCGGGAGGTGACCCTAGCCAACATTAAAAGCGCTCAGAGTTCTGATGCGAATTAGAGCAGGACACGATTCCTGTAATATCCGAGCCACCACAAAAGTTCTTGAGGGCATCTTTTGTGGGTTCTCCATCTTCCCTTCCCTCTCTGCCATCATCTATTGCCTTTCTGGGCCCTCTCTTTTCCCTACTTTCTGTGTCATTCCTCCGGCACTGGCACTGTAGACATTAGGCATTGCCGGCCCGTTTGTTAAATCAGTACATGCAAGCCAAACTTCTTGCACTAATGAAAGCATCCCTCAAAATTCCACTGTTGTCATCTCAAAAGCGTTTCTCAGTGCTGCCCGGCTAAAGGAAACCAACAAATGACAAGGTGCAGCGGCGGTTCAAGTAGGGGATCCCGGCCTCATCTCGCCATAATATAACTGGCTGGAAAGTGGAATGGCTGGAAGACGTGAGAAAGCTGGACGTCAGATGTTCAACCTAAGCAAACTCAGACGCGCAAGCGCGTGGCGCAGAGCCAGTCTCTCGAGGCCGCATCGCAGCGCCTGCGCACAGAATCTGGAGAGGAGTGGGAAGGGGAGAACAGCGGTGGGGTTTAGCGCTCCCACCGCCTCAGCTCCGCTCAGCTTGCAAGCCCCGCCTCCACCAGCTGCTCGTCTTCCCAAACAACCGGGTGCGACCCCTCCCCCTGGCGCTCTCCGTCTATTGGCCCTCGGCCCTTTCCGTTTCCGCCCAGCCCTCGATAATCCACCAATCAGCTTGTGCGCTTGGGTAAGCGCCCCCTCAGGCCGTCGCTCCGGCTCTTCTGCCTCCTCCCGCTGCTGCCTCCGCTGCTGCCTCCTTTCCGACCTCCTTCGTCAGGCGGGCGTCTGCGGGGGTCTGAGGGGCGGCGGCGGCGGCGGCAGCGATATGGAGCTTGAGACCGGCGGCCGAAGTGCTGCTCGCGGACACGACGCCGGACACCCAAGAATTCCGCCACCACGGGAGCAGGAGCGGAAGCTGGAGCAGGAGAAGCTGTCCGGGGTGGTGAAGAGCGTCCACCGGCGGCTCCGCAAGAAGTACCGGGAAGGTAAACAGAGAGCTGAGTGGGGGGAGGGGAGGCATCAACGCCCCCAGCCCCTTGTCACCTCTCCACTCCCGCCAAGGGGCCACCATTACCACCTGGAAGAGCTGCACGTCAGCCCCGGCCGGTGACGCGCTCCTAGGCCCCGACGCCCCCTTCCCGGTCGAGTCCTCCGTCGGCGTCAGGCGCGCTGCTCCCGCCCCCTTTTCTTCGAGGGCCCTTCTGGAGAGTTCCAGGCCAGTGGAGGAACTTGAGTCCCCACCCCCTCCGATCCCCAGCCCCCAGCGGGGGTGCTGAGGTTATTGTCACCACACACAAACACGTACACCCTCATAGAGGCTGCGGAGGTCGCTCGTTGCCAGAGGCGTGAAGGTAAAACACGACGACAGGTAAAAATCCATGTGAGAAAGACGGACGGAAAGAAGCCTGAGTTGCCCCCTCACTCGCTTGCGCGTGACCAGCCTGTTTGATTTGCTGCGGGGCCAGACCGCCTTCCTAGAACCTCTTTCCTACGGGGTTAGCCAGGCGGTGCCCCCGCTTTCTCGCACTGGCAGGCAGAGCGGCGACGTCCGCAGGCCTTGTAGCTGACCCGACATCACCATGTTCAAAGGGGACGGGTCTCCAACCCTCCCCACTCGCCGTCCTTAAGATGCTCGATCTTAGTGTTTAGGCGGAGGAGGAGGAGTTCTGGAACAGGTTCTCAAAATAGTTGTTAGCTTTTGAAAGGCACCCAGAGGACGCAGATTCCCCAGAGAAGCCGACCATCGCCAGGAACGCTACTATGGAAGATATTAAGCAAAGGAAGAAGTCTTAGATGCTTTTTGCTTGTGCCTGAGAAGTGTTTCTAGTTGGGGGTCTACAATTATCCTTGGCATTTTTAAATACAGGCTTTTTTGCAGAGCTATTTTATAAAACACTGAATGAAAAGGCCGTTTTTTTCATATGCTCGGGAGAAATTTCTTCTAAAGACAAAATAAGGGCTAACTCTCTACTTGCTCTGGATTTAGCTTAATTGCAAACTGAAAAGTGGGCAGTCTTTTACTGTTAGTCTTATACTTAAGTTAGGATTAGAAGCAACATTATGACAATTGATGGAATAGACGTGTGAGAGCATGTAGCTTTTGATTTACAAACACTTTTCAATTACTCTAGAAGATTAAAACTGTCTTTGTTCCTTTGAGTATAGTTGATGTGTTTAATTTTTCAAACTTTAAATTCAGTTTTCTTCCCTTGGCAACTCCTAGCTTTTTAAATAGCTGTTTAAATACTATTCTCAAAGATGGCCTATAGTTATTGTTTAGTAGGTAGCAATAGAAAGAGACTTATTGGGCATAGGTAAGATGTTGAAATTTGTTTCTTAAAAGAATGATTTAAACCACAACCCACAATTTATTTAATAAAATGAGTAGTTACCATAGTGATCATTGCATTACTCTTAATATTCAGAGAATACACGTACGTAATGGCATTCACTATAGATTTTTATGTTGTTGGGAGAAAAGAAGTAAATGGACACACTTTAATTTATCATGCTGTGTTGTAGTGTACAAATTTAAGCAAGTAAATCTTTTTAAACAAAAAAATGACTAGCATATAATTCCGTTACCATTTTTACCTTTCTAAATAATTTTATAAATGAATAGGTTCCACTTAACACTACTAATGTATCATCATGTCTTCAAGTGCTGTTTATACTTGCTTAGTTTCCACATGTTGAAACTTGTCTTTAAGCCTGAATATTAACCAAAGGAACACTTGTTCATAATGAGAATTGGTAGTTGGAAGTTACCAGAGCTAAAATAGATACATGTATTGATAGTTCATAAGTGAATGATCTAGTGTACTTCTGAGCAGGTAAAGTCCTGGCAGTCTGTAAACATTTGAATGAAACTTTTCTTTAGGCATTTTAATGCCCTGAATTCCACCATTGATCTAGACTTCTCTAGGCTTCATTTCAGCGATATACAAAGCCCTGTCAGTGAACTAACAGAAGTAAAAGATCCTAATGAGTATGCCTTTCTACCTTTACTTCTCACGTGTAGGTCAAATCTTAGTTGTGATTTGACAAAAATCTGTGAAAAAGTCATCTGTGAAAAAGTCTGATTACGCACATAATAATCCCAAAGAAATAATTTTTTGTGTTCTCCTTTGAGGTCTTAGTATTATTATAATACTGACGGTTGGTCCCAGTCTGCAAACATTATTTTTACATGTTCATTTGCAAGTCAACTGTGGTCATAAAATAATAATATAAATGGCGCTTAGGTGCTGGGTCAGGTTAGGGTGGCCTGTTTAATTAGTAGCATACCTGAAATATAATACCAATAACTTGAAACTATACTTTTATAACAATATTCCTATAAGAATATGCAGTGAAAATTCCATCTTAGAATCTTGGAATGTTAGACTAGAAGGAACATTAGCATTTATCAGTGATTCCCTAGTATGGCTGATCAGTAGACTCACCTTGGGTGCCTTTTAGAAAATTTCTGCTTGCCTTTCAGATGTACATTTTCAGAATTCCCATTATATTGGGACCTAGAAATTTGTCAGCCAGATTTTGGGGTGGTGTCTGTCCTAAACTAGTTCCTTCCTTTTACATATGAATGAGCTTGAGTCCCCCAAATACTAAAATAACTTGCTAGAAGTTTGGATAGTTCATCACTAGCACTGTACATATTTTACAGGGATAATAGTTTTTTTCTTCCCAGTTCCAAGACTCCAAATGTTGGAATGGGAGGGAAAATGGAAAGCAGCAAGTAGCCCTAGAACTTGTGTTAGGTAAGAGGATATAAACAGGTGGGAATGGGGTAATTCACTGGATAGATATGATCAGCTGCGCTGAGGTTATGTGAGCTGTGGGTTTTGAGGAGAGAGATTTCAGGGAAGGGAATAAGTTGGGGTAGAATGAAGAAAGGCAAAATATTCACTGGATAGTAGGGATAGGAATATGAACTGAATCATGAGTGTATGGTTGGATAATACAGTTTTTTTCTTTGGTAATGAAATTGAAAATGTAGCAGGAATGGGGGAGAAGGTGAAGGGATTACAAAGTGCAAATTCGTAGTCACAATATAGTCATGGGGATATGAAATACAGTATGGAGAGTATAATCGATAATGTTGTAAAGATTAGGGTGCCAGATGGACATTGGATTTAGGGGGATCATTTCACAGACTGTGTAGATGGGTGACAAATGTGCTATATACACCTGAAACTGAGGTTGAATAATATTGAATGTCAACTGTAATTAAATATACCGGGGATGCCAAAAACGTATATAAGTGGACACGGGTCAGCATTGCTCAAGCAGTAGTTCACTGTAATCAGAAGTATCTGGATGCTGATAGTAACCACTTTGAGCACCTCTTATAATTGCAGAATTCAAACGTGACTTGTATTCATCTTTTGTTATCGGTATATATTATTAAAATTTTAATACAGTTTTTCTTTCTTAAAATGTGTATGCATCTTTTTGGCACCCTGTATATATACATATATATATATGTATATATATAAATATTAGTTATATATATATGTATATACATATATATATATAACTAATATTTAGTTATACATATATGTATATAGTCATGGGATGTGGATTACAACATAGGGAAGATAGGCAGTGGTATTGTTACAGCTATATACGATGTCGGGGTAGTAACTTAGGGGGTGGGTTTTCACCTTTTGAGGGGTGTAAATGTCTATTACGTTGCTTTGTACACCTGAAACTAATAAAAAAAAAATGAAGCAGGACTAAAAATGAAAATAAGGTTTTTCTGCTATTGTAGAGAAAGATTTCTCTCCACCCTTTCCAATCCATTTATCCAACTTGTTGATGAGTAGTCTTGGGGTGTGGGGATAGTGGATAGACTAGTGGTAAAGACTAGCAATGCACTCTTTTCTTTTACCACTTTACCCTTCCTTCTGTACTCCATTTCACCCATTTCACTGTCTGTCCTATGTCACCAATAGAGATCCTTTGCCAGTTTGTATAGGGTAAAGTGAGAATTGGAGGTAAATGTCAGTGTTCCAGATAGTGCTGATATTTGAAGTAGTTAACAAGAGGAAATGGTAGGGAAATGTCTACCAGTGGTGATGACAAGTGGTGTTCCTGGTGTCAGCCATTTATAGATAAGAGACAGTCATTTATTTATGTATTTAATTTTATTAAATTTTTTGGTGTGCTCATTTTTTAATTTATTGGGGTGACATTGGTTAGTAAAATTATATAGGTTTCAAGTGTACAATTCTATAATATAACATCTATATATCGCATTGTGTATTCACCACCCAGAGTCACTTCTCCCATCACGGTATTTTTTAACCCCTTTATCCTCTTCTACCACTCCCCTCCCCCTTACCCTCTGGTAATCACTAAGCTGATGTCTGTGTCTGTAGTTTTTGTTTGTTTGTTTGTCTTATCCGATAAGGGACAGTCTTTTAGATTGAGTTTATGTAAATGGAAATATGCTTGCAGATACAGGTGTTTTCTGTCTCTACTATTCAGAATT